ATTCATATCTCCTTCATACGAACTCCGTTTTTGACGTTCTTTATATCCTCACAAAGATGAGACTACGATCTACAACTTTCATTTAGATTCCGTTGGCAAATTCCGGAATTATTTTTATTATGTATTTATTAAAATGACGTGATTAAGGAATTTCTTTAAAAATTCATAACTTATTCATACGATGTCCGATTTGAGCGTTCTTTTTGTGCATGTTTGTAGTTTAACGATATCTACGACTTTTATTTAGACACCTAAGGTCGGAAAGTGTTTTATTGAAACTTTGCGTTTTTACGCAACTTCGTATTGCCGGTTTTTGTCGGAAAACTTAGAATGATCATAATTTCTTCGTTATAACTCGGATTTTTGTGTTATTTATATGTTTGGAAACCTTAAGACGATAACTACCACATAGTGTACTCCAAATAGAGTTTTTGAATACTTCATTTTTCGATGATATTCTAATTCTTTTCTCAAAGAGGTTACAGGACTCGATTTTTAGTGACTTGAAATAACGGGTTGCTACAGTCCACCAAAGAAAATATTTAATGCAATGGATGGATTAACATTGAGTTTATTGGAAGTTTATTAGGTTGGGAGTGCAGTTAATATTTAATGCGGGAGGCAACCCGTCATTAGAGTTTGCTTTTTTTTCTTTAAACTTCTAGTTTATTAGGGTAATTTAGGATTTTAATTTTGATGTTTGTTTTCGTTTTTCTATTACTTGTGTGTTGTTTTGATCTTTTAAGTTTGAAGCTTAGGATTGCATGTGAGGGTCTAGAGTCAAGGCTGACGAAGGGAGAAATCGAATCTAGGCGAGAGAGGAAATGAAGTTTTGAGTCAAGCTATGAGTCCAATTGATATAAGGGTTATAGAGTGTTTATTCCCTGAAGAAAAATGAGGGAAATTAGTCGTTTATAGAACCTCCATACATCAGAAACGGACTTGGGCAGAATAAAATTTTTGTCACACAGCGGTCTACTCGCCGAGTGCATCTTATGGACTCGCCAAGTCCATGTGAAAATTCACGATTCTTCTACCATTTACGCTTCAACTCGGTGAGTCTACATACTTACTTGACGAGTCGCTCATTCTTCTTACTTTTGAGCTGAAGATTTGATGACATTTGATATGGGCATTGGTTCTATTCTTTGAAGATCATTTTCCGAGCATTTCCAAGAGTTTGTCCCTTATAATTGGAGCTGTACCACACGAGATTTTAACACCCAAAGCATGGATGAGCTGTTCCCATGCCAAAGTCATCTGAAGATGGAGCTCAAAAGAAAAAGATCAGCCTCGTGACTGCTACCCCAGGGGAGTTTGTTCCAATTCTCTCTATATTTCATATTTCATATTTTATGCATGACATGCAATGGGGACATTGCATAAATTAAGTGTGGGGTAAGGGGTTGGTTATTTTAGTTAAACTTTTAGTTAAGTTTTGATAAAATTTATTATTTTTGCATTAAAATTGCTAGGACTAATTTAGAAAATTTTGGTAAAACAATTAGGGATCATGCTAGTATTATATTTGATGATTGCATGAAAACCCAAATGTTTAGTTGAGCCTATATACGTTCTAGTGCATTTGTGGCTTCCTTATTCTAGTGAAATCATGGGACAAAAACACGACCTCGCTTAGTTTGAAGGATGCAATATGTTTAGCATCGTGTACCAGAAATGTATCCAGGAAAATTATTATCGTTAACCAATAAAGGTTGAAGTTGAGCGCCCCTGCTTAAGCATGTAGGGTTTTGAGTGAAACAAAGTGAGTTACATGTTAAAAAAGAGAGAGAGAATTACAAGAAGAGTTTGAAGAATTTTTGGAGCATCAAAGTTAAGTATGAAATTAGAAGATTGAAAATTCCGAAGAAATTCAAAAAGTTGAAGATACCAAAAATCAAATAACAAGGTGGTGAATTCCAAAAAATCAAAGATCAAATGTCAAAGAAATGAAGAATTCCAAAGAGCTCCAATGTGGTATCATAAATTGTAATTGTATAGATTATGTATGCTTGGGTTGCTCAACCAAAAATACCTTGTGGTTAAGAGGTTTTCTGAGGATGGATTCGGAGGGATGCATAAAATGAGCATTGTTCGGAAAAAGTGGACGAATGTTTATGAGGATTGTGAGTATTTGGAGTATGGGGGTTATTAGGAAAATTTTAGACACAAATGCATGCGTGCGGTCTTGGCATAATGGTTGTGTTCGATTGGAGTTGTCTTATGTGATTCTAATGTGTTAAAATTTAGTTTTGCTTGGGGGCAAGCAAAAGTCAAGTGTGGGGTATTTTAATATGGACATATTTAGTTATAAAATTCATGCATGATCTTAATACTTTATGTTGATTTTGTCTCATTTAATGAACAAAAAGTGCTTAATTAGATTAAATATTTCATTTTCAGCAACAAAGACATGCTCGAAAGGAAAATGAAACGGAACTAGCTATTGGAAGCTTGGATCTTGGATTTTGAAGAAAGAAGGATGTTACTGGACAGCTTGACCCCTCATCAGTGTTTTGGCCATATCTCAGGAACCGTAACTCCGATTGACGAGATTCAAAATGTTCTGAAAAGTAGACACAATTTCGGACGACTTTCGTGTTTTGAGAAAATGCTGATTCAAAACATACTCGGCGAGTAGGGTCGATTACTCGGCGAGTTGTATCGAACTTTCGCGATTCTGGACGCGCTGACTTGCCGTACACGGGTTGTAAGTGACGGACTCGCCAAGTAGGTCACTGGACTCGCCGAGTAGCCTCTGTTTTGTGAAAATCTATATAAAGGGACTTTTAGATCGATATCATAGCATGGAGAGAAACCCTAGGAGGCTGAGAAACGATTGGAAGTGCTGCTAGGTCGTGAGGAACTGAAGAATCAACCCTACATTCAATTGTGAAGAGAATCAAGACAATTTTGGTTTATTATTAGTAAATCTTTGATTTGAATCATGTTTACATACTTTGATTTCGTTTTTGAGTTTATGTTTGCTGCAACCATGAGCTAAAAACTCATAACTTCTGTTAGGGTAGACAATTTTGTGAACATGGATTGATTATTTGAGTAGGATTAATTTTGATTGGTAATTATGTTTTGTTAAGCTTGTTAAAGAACCTTATGTGTTGACAATAACAATTCTTCTATTAATAAATCAGTAATTAAGTTGTATGAACATCTCTTAGTTATTAATTTCATATGATTTATTGTGACCACATAGTTGTATGTCTAGGAATAACGAACGTGAAACTAGAATTAACTAGAAGATAGGTAAGTTAATGTGTAAGCTTGTTGGATCAACATCGACAAGAGGTTAATTGAAAGGCCAATTTAGTTAACCACTACAAGTCTTACTTAACCCAAATCAATAACCTAGGAAACCCATTAATTTAGACAACTGGCCATTGCTTGAGTTAATTTGTTTTCTAAGAATTACGAATAGCAAACATGAACCTAATTATCTTAATCGGTAGCCAATGAAGTGTTAATCCAATACATTAAAATCATCCATGGGAACAAATGAGTCGTACCTAAATAGAAGTCCTCTTTACTATTGAATTTAGTTGGTAATTAATTGTTTTAGTTGCTAGTTAGTTAATTTGTGTGTTGGTTATTCTAATTAAGTTTCTAGTCTTGTAAAACTAGAGAAAACCCCCTTTTTGTTATTTGTTTTATTTAGATAATATTAGCATTTATTTTAATTGTTTACCGTTCCCTATGTTCGATACCCTACTTGCCTGAACTATATTACTAATCGATAGGTATACTGCCTTTCGTGTGTTTATTTTGTGTCTAAGTTAGTAGGATTAAAACTAGTTGGTTTTACACACATTAAGGACCATGCTACAATTGGGTCAAGTAAATCCCAGTTACAGTTATGGACTTAGACACTAAATCCAACAGTCTCCTACTTGGATAAGTCTAATAGCTATAAGTGCCAATGTTATTCTAGGATCCGACTTAGTAATCGTAAGCTTTCAAAAGTCGTTGTCAACTCTGACCCAGTTAGTGACACATCTGATGAGAATTATACTCTCTAAGATCGATAGATTCAAACATATATCAACAAAACAATAATGTGTAATTAAAGATGTAAAAAACAATGATGAATCAAACGAGTGTCGAATGATTAATATGCTCTACCTCAGAAGAATTCAGTGTGAATTGCTACTGTAGAGGTGTGCTTGGGTTACAATACTTGATCTTCATAATAATAATCAAAAGTGTGTCTAATATACTGCATGCATACTATATATATATATATATATATATATATATATATATATATATATATATATATATGTATATATATATATATATATATGTGTGTGTGTGTATATATATATATATATATATATATATATATATATATATATATGTAAACCCTAAAAACTAAACACAACTGGATAGGCTCAAACCGTGAGTACAAATGGACCGAACTATCAAGGCCCAATGGCGCAACCCCTTAGACTCAACAAGGCCCAATTACCTCCTTCAAATGTATTTCCATCATCCATAAAGGGAACATGGATTTCCTTTTTTTCCATAGCTTCATTCGTTTCTTTTTCCTTCTTCTCTCTTTTAATGTATTCATTTGCCTTTTTAAGCTTCTCCTTGAGTTCTTGATCACAATGTTTGAGTTTTACATTCAATTTCAATTATGTCTTCAATAACCACCTCATCGTCATCATTAGCTTTCTCCATTCTTTTGTCCATCATACTGCCCGAAGGATCCTTACCCTTCGGTACAACAGTGACTTTTGGTTGTGGTGTGGGTTTGATTATGAGAGGTGGTTGAGATTGACCTTGAAAAACATTGTCCCCCCTTGTTTCTGAAGGAAAATGGACTCCGGAACATCCTCAATCCTGCTCAAAATGTCCAGAGCAGGTCTCAATTTCTCATCCAAGTGGCACCGAACCGTAATGGTAAGAGTGGAGTCATGAGCTTCAACTAGATGCATAAGAATAGAATGCATGTCACGAACACTGCTTTTAATGATATATCACTATGATTTGAGATAATCAATCTCTTTTTGAACCTGGGTGAGTTGTAAAGCTTGAGTTTTGACCTGAGTGGTTTTGAGAGCCAGTTCGTCCATGACTTTATTTTCCATAGCGAGTTCATTTTGCAGTTTATCAAGGCGACAGGAGATGGATGGGAGGAAAGCAGTCTGATCAGCTTTTAGAGAATCACGCACCATCTCAATTTTTTGATGCTCATCTTGAAGTGACTTTGAAAGAGAATCAACAACAGAATTGGCCTTGTTAGCATTGGACTTAGCAACTCCCGTAAGAGAATCAAGAAACATTTGGGAATCTTCAATTATTTTTGCCACATTAATAGAAGCATTCTTACAAGATAAAGAAGAGGAATCCACCGCCTTGGTTGCCTGTTGGATGGAGTCATCATGCTTTTAAATAGAAGTTTGAATCAGGGCTTTAACAACAACATCAGAATAAGCAGAGGATGAAGAAGTGGAAGATGAAATGAGAAACATGTCAAGCTTCTCATTAAGATCTTTTAGGTGTTGCTTGGTGATGGGAGCATCATCGTCATCATCATCATTGCTTAGTACACTATATGGGCTGAAATAAACAGAGTCAAACTCCATATCGCCTCTTGCAAGAACAGTATCAGATTCGGTTGAGGGAGGTGGGGATAAAGGTTTTGAAGTAACATTGATTTTGAGACCTTCGGTAGGTGTCCCCATATCAGATACATTAACAACAACCGGAGGTTTGGTCGTAGTGGTTGTGGTGTTGCTTGTGTGATGATTGGAGGTGGAAGAGGAACAGTTGAAGCAATTGGTGGAGTTGAAGTAGGTTGAGAAGTAACCGTTGGGGGAGGAGGTGCAATTGAAATAGGCATTGTAGTATGAGATGGATAATGGTGAGGAGTTGAAACAGATTCGTGTAAACGTACCTCAGGTGTTGGGGGAATGAGGAGGTATATTTCCGCTTGGTGGACTTTCGATGTGAACATCTTCTCCTTCGTTTGAATTATATTGGTCTTGATCAGAAGGAATATAATCTGAATCACTAGGCGAATGTGCCTTCAGTTTCTTGGCCATATTTTTAACCTTTCGCTTCTTATGGGCAAAACAAGGTTCTTTTTCTGCTTTGCGCTTTTTGGGCGTAGCTACTAGGGATGATTACCCTTTTGCATCCTTCTTCTTCTGATTTAGTTTCTTTCTCCTCTTTTCAGGTTTATCTACAACCTGCAACATACTTTGCATTTATGGAGTTAGTTGCCTCGGCCCTGTTGGTGGCAATTTCCTGTAATCACCCAGAACCTTGCTTTCGTGTAAAGTCCATAATTTGCTTGTGTATCAATCAGATCCATTTGATGGTGTGGAATCCCAATCAAACGGATGATGTCAGATCAAATAGAAGAGAAGGCCTCAATGAAATCCGTCACATATTCTTCAATTTCAGCTTCACCTTGCTTCTGGGTTGAAAGATTGAATGTCAAAAGAATAATCTTCATTTCTTGCTCTTTGGATGTGAATTCTTCGATGCTCACAGATGAAGCCTTGGCTCAGAACTCTTCGACACAAACTTCATGAGTCTTATCTATACCTGAAATCACTTTTCAAGACAAAACAAAACTAAAAGAAAACTTAGCACAGAAACAAAAATATTTTTGGATTCTTGATTTTCTTGAACAAGAAATAAAACATAAATAACACTATTTTTTTTTTAATTTTCTGATTTTTGTTTGTTTGTTTTTTTTGTTTTTTTTTTTTAAAAATCTCCCCTAATATTTAAATTAGAAGAAACTATGATCAAATTTAACAAAAATAAAATGATATCTAACTTTAAGAATGATTTGGGATCAAAGTTTTTAGACAACCTTTATCCACTTGTCGGTACCTTCAATCTTCACATCTTTCTCTGGTCGATCGTCGGTATTGTTGTCCACTTAAACACGAAAAATTGTGACAATTTTAGGACATACTAATAATTGTAAGACAAAGTGATCCTAAGTTCCTATATACTATATCTTAAGGACCATTCAGCTGACATCGACTAGGGATATTATTGTGATGTTTTCCATCTAAATTGAGCAACGAGATCTAAAGACAATCTTTGAGTGTTCAATTTTAATTCTACTGGAACATGTTTCCCGCTTCCTGATACACTCCGGTAATCAAGGACTTCCAGAATACTCCTTACTGTTGGATAAGGTGTCTAAGTCCATAACTATTTCTGGTATGTACTTGACCTGACCCGGGATGGTCCAGTTGGGTTGCATGGCACCATGCAATTGGATAGACTAAATGAGAGAAATAACACTTAGAGATTATTAATATATTATAAGTTCTAATATATTAATAATATTATTTGATTAGTTTGATCAATAATTAATTTAGAATTAATTAAGTGATCAAAAGAGAACTAATTAAATATATGGGTTGATTATGTAAATCATCCATATCTTGTATAGTGGGCTAAGAGGCTCCATGGATTATCAAGTTGGGTTCTACCCATAGGATGCTCCATGGATGCTCCATGGGAGTTACAAACCCATGGCTCATGGAAATGAAGAGTCATGACACATTAGGGTTTACATGGTGTAACCCTAGATGTGTCAACACTATATAAAGATCTCATTCTCCACCAAAATCGGCTACACTAAGGAAACAAGAGGGCTTGGCCGATTTCAAGAAGTGTGCATTCTCTCAAAAGTCTTTCCAAGAGCATTTGGTGTTGTGTGAAGCATTTGAGGCATCACACTTGGGGTGCTAGGCTCATAAGGTTTCAAGGAACACAAGCAACAACAAGGTAAGTTATTCTATCTATCATTCAAGTCTAAAATTGTTCCCCATGTATGCTAGATAGGAATATAGCCTTGGAATTCAACTTTGCATGATAATTAGACAAACATAGATCCAAGGTTATTAGGGTTGCATGTACACTTAGGAAGTGTTAGAATGCTTAAAACCCATCAGTGGTATCAGAGCCTAGGCTTGTTTGCTTTTTATTTGTGCTTAAAAGTCGAAAAAAGTCGAAAATCTTGCTGTCTACGAATAGACTCATCGAGTCCATAGGGGGGACTCGTCGAGTTCACGTGTAACTTCAACCAACTCGGCAAGTAAGTTCATGCACTCGGCGAGTAGGGTCGACAGATTGCAGAATTTCGACTTTAGTTGCTGGAAATGGACTAGAAAGATTACCCTAAACTGTTTTGGTACTTGAAAACTTGTTTTGATGGTGTAATGTTCTTTCTAATTCATTTACAACAACTAGTTATCAAAATTACAAAGTTTTAAGTGTAATTTTGATTTATGAATGTGTTCATATTCATGTTCTTGTTCTTATGATGTTTTAGATGATCATAGGAATTATTTGTAACCTATGTGGTAGATTAATTCTTGATCATAATGTGTTTTAATGGAGTCCATAACTTGTCCTCAAGTTATCGAAAACCAAGAGTCACACTTGAATTAAAACCATTAAAAGAACACAAGAGTTAGAAAATGAAGAGTCTTCATTTTATTACTCTATTAAACTCATAAGTTACAAGAAATGAAAAGTTTTGAAAGTTACAAAACTTGCTCTCAAGTTTTGGAACAAGTAAAGTTAAGTTAAAACTTTAGTTCCAACCCTTAGAATTTTAAAAGTTAAAATTCAATCCTTATACTTATATTATGATGACTTAATAATTATATATATATATATATATATATATATATATATATATATATATATATATATATATATATATATATATATATATATATATATATATATATATATATATATATATATATATAAGAACAAAGTCGTCTTACCGCTAGTACGCCTCATTCACGAAGCTGGTCTATAAGGTGGGTATAAGGTTGTTGCCTATAAAATGGTGACTTAATGGGTGTCTACTCTCACCCACCGCTTGCTTGACTGGTGGAGGGTCGTTAGCCGAACGGGTAAGACAAGGACTTATAAATTCTCATTCAAAGTATGATGAATATTATAAAGTAACTAAATGTTTATTAAATTCCCAATCTTAGTTACTTTAGGAAAAATGTGAATAAGGTGCTAATCCATGAAATTACACTTTACACTTTGTCTAAGTCGTTGGTGGAGCGTGTGTGGTTAACCGGCACACTAACTTGGACTTAACAAGGTAGGTAAAGGGTGACTTAAGGTTTATTATAGTATCGGTGGAGCGTGTGTGGTTTACCGGCACATCGATTGAGTGATAAACTTTAAGGGTACCAAGTGATTTGCATGGTTACTTCACACCTCGTTTTGTGATCCTCGGTATCCCAGTCACAAAACTTGGAGGGCACACTCGAGATTGAAACATGCCTTTGAAAAGTTCATTGAATCTCAAAGAATCTAGGAATTTCTAAGAACCAATCATAAAACCTAATATCTAATATTTCGGTTTTCGTGGTGGAAATTGGTGAATCGTCATTCACCTACCTTTCAAATATGTTATAGCTTGGATTACGGCATACCTCTTCTAAGTTATAATATATTGTGATTGGATCCTAGCCTTAATATTACATTTGGGTGTTTTATTAAGGACTATCTTAATATCTAAACTAATCTTGTCCTCTTCCTTCAGATGTCTTCAAACAATGCTGCTTCTGGCTCGAATCCTAATGGCTCCTTTACTCTTATGAGCTTGTGTGGGAAAGTCACTTTTGATGGATCCAACTTCAATGAGTGGATCAGAAACATCAGGATGATTACCCGCTACGAGGACAAAGAATATATCCTCGACAAGGAGCTTAAGGAGATTGATGAGACCACTGCAACTCCTCAGGAGATCGCTGACTTTCAGGCACATGAAAGGGATGCTACGAAAGTAGCATGCATCATGATGGCCACAATGACAGCAGAACTCCAAAAGTCCTATGAGGATTTCTACCCTTATGAAATGCACCAAGATTTGATGGAAAGATACCATCAAAGTGCACGACAAGAGAGGTACGAAATCATCTGCTCCATGATAACAACCATGATGAAGGACGGGGATTCCGTCACGAGCCACATGCAGAAAATGCAAAGGTATATGGATCGATTGTTGAAGCTTAATGTGAACTTCCCTGAGGAGCTTGCAATAGATATAATTTTGCGCTCCTTACCATCGTGCTATGATCAATTCCGCATGACATATCACATGAATAAGGAAGAGGTCACACTCAGCAAACTTCAGGGACTTCTCAAGACCGCAGAATCAGGTCTTAAGGGGAAGTCGGTTGTTAACACTCCTACTCCAAACTCCACTCCGGTTTTGGCAATCGGGAAAAGTCGAGGGAAGAAGAGAAAGAGTTCTTCGAAGGGTACCAAGGTTAGGACCCTTGATGGCTCTTCTTCAAGTGGAACCAAGAAAGGTTTTGTCACTCCTTCTTTGGACCCAAAAGAGGCTGAATGCTTCTATTGCCATGAAAAATCACATTGGAAGCGGAACTGCCCAAAATACCAGCAAGATGTGAAGGATGGGAAAGTTAAACCCAACCATGCAGGTATTTACACTATCATTTCTAATAACTCACCCCATTCGAAATCTTGGGTCCTTGATACCGGTTGTGGTATTCACATTTGTTGTGACTTGCAGGGACTAAGAAGAAGTGAGAATGTGGAGCAAGGAAGAATAAACTTAATCATGGGGAATAGGAAAGTTACACCTGTCACCAAGATTGGAGTTTATACTTTATCGCTAAGTAGTGGGTTAAATTTAGATTTGAATAAATGTTGTTATTCGCCAGAAATGGCAAGAAATATTATTTCCTTTCATGCATTGTATAAACAAGGTTTCACCTTTTCATTTGATAATGAAGTTGGTTTGATTAATGCTTTCTTTAATAATGTTCTTTATTTTAAAGCATTACCTTGTGATGGTGTGTATGAAGTTGTATCTGTTGTAGATCACTTAGGAAATAATGTTTTGTGTATTGATTCTCCTAATAATAATAACTTGGATAAAGCATCATTATGGCATTGTCGTCTTGGACATATAAGCAAGAAACG